AGAATAAATCACCATTGTCTTGGCCTATACCAATAACTAGTTGTTTAATGCATAACCATTCTGCTTCTTTGCTGAGTCTTTGTAACACAGAAGGCCAGAGATCAACTGGAACGTCCGAAAAGGCACCGTACCTTTCGTTTTTCTCGAAGTCTTATGGATAGATAATAATAGCAAACAAGCTAATTCAGAGAATTCGTGTCCCCCGCTTAGGGAAAAAGTCGGCTCCCCCTGACTGAATTTGTAGAATTATTAAATGTATACATGTATACTGAAGGAAATAAAATACATGTATGTCAATATGCATATAAAGATTTGATTGCTTATTCTTTATTATGTGTATAGAAGATTTTTTTATATGGAATATTTATCACACTGTAATGATGATTTTATAACCTCATAAATTTTTCATTTCACATGCTGAATACTATCATTTAGTAAAAAAAAAAAAAAAAAAGATAGGCTCGGCCGAGATTCGATCCGGGGACCTCTCACATTTGAAGCGAGAGACATAACCACTAGACCACGGAGTCGCTTTACTCTGAGAGAAGTATATGCAGAACTGAAGTCACATACATGTATATATTCATGTTTTCATGTTCGGTATTCTCAAAATTTTACACAATCCATGGTGTTTGATTTATTTAGCCTTTATTAAACAGTTATAATAGATGTAATAAGAACATAAAGTCCGCTGAGAACCTGTTTTATACGCAATAACTCTCCTCATGCCCCTGCGCTAAAAATAGCGACATGTAATACTATAAATACTAATAAAACAAACGGGGCGGGGCACTTTGAGAGGGGCGAGAGACGTCCTAGGGAGTTTTGGTATAAAATTACATTGCATAAGCTCAAAATCTTCTTGAAATATCGCCCGGAAATGATAGTGTTACACACAGACAGAATGTATAAATTTACGACCTTGAACTTTGACCTTTTGACCTCAAAATCAATAGGGGTCTTCTTTAGGCCACAGGGAGTTGTTATGTAAAATTTCATTGCGATAGCTCAAATGGTTCTAGAGATATCGTGTGGAAACGAAAGTGTTTTAACAGACAGAATTTGCTTATTTATTCAAGTCTCCTATTGGATACTGCTTATTGGATACAAAAAAAAGTGTACACACGAGAGAGCATTATTTGGGTAGTTACTGTTCAAATCCTATTGGATATTAATCCTCGTGTCCGTATTTTATTGGGTTTTTTCTTATTGCTTTTTATTCATTCCAAATTTATTATATATTTAATATTTGTTGGTAAATTCAGACAAGACTGAAAACCTTTGGTTTTGAACCCATATTTTGTCAATTTCTGTGATATAGCTCTTTTATTGTAACACCTAACTAATTTGTTCTTAGCAATAAGGATAAACATCTGTATATTTCAAAATATCTAATATTAAAATATATGAATACCTAAGTGCAAAAAAAAAAAAAAAAAAAAAAAAAAAAAACTGAATTGTGCAAACACAAGTCAACACATCTCAGACTCTGTTCAACCTTTCTTGAATAACAAAAATAAGTATTTAAGGAAAAACCTTTTTGAGTCATGACCAATTAATAATAAGCAAATGCCCATAATATATTGGGCAGAATGAAGGTATCCAACAGGCATTGGTCAGGTGTCCAATATCTGTTGGGTTGATTTTGACGAAGGGATTAAACTACCCAAGAACAATTGAACATGTGTACATTGTCCAATTCTATTTGGGTTTCTTGAATCTCCTCATCAAAATACAACCCAACAGGTAATGGACACATGTCCAACTCCTCTTGGATATCTACATCCCACCCAATAGGTAATGGACACTTGTCCAATTCATCTTGGGTTTCTTGAATTGCTTCATCAGAATACCACCCAACAGGTAATGGACATCTGTCCAAATCCTTTTGGATATCTACATCCCACCCAACAGGAAATGGATACTTGTCCAATTCTTTTTGGGTTTCTTGAATCTCCTCATCAAAATACAACCCAACAGGTAATGGACACCTGTCCAACTCCTCTTGGATATCTACATCCCACCCAACAGGTAATGGACACTTGTCCAATTCTTCTTGGGTTTCTTGAATTGTTTCATAAGAATACCACCCAACAGGTAATGGACATCTGTCCAACTCCTCTTGGATATCTACATCCCACCCAACAAGCAATGGACACTTGTCTAATCCAACAGGCAATCTTGGGTTTCTTGAATCTTTGGTTTCTTGAATCTCCTCATCAAAATACAACCCAACAGGTAATGGACACCTGTCCAACTCCTCTTGGATATCTACATCATCAAAATACACCCAACAGGTAATGGAACACTTGTCCAATTCTTCTTGGGTTTCTTGAATTGTTTCTTCAGAATACCACCCAACAGGTAATGGAAATCCGTCCAACTCCTCTTGGATATCTACATCCCACCCAACAGGCAATGGACACTTGTCTAATTCTTGGGTTTCTTGAGAATCTCCTCATAAGAATACTACTCAACATGTAATGGACACCTGTCCAATTCTTCTTGGATATCTTCATCCCTTCAATAGTATTTAAATAAAAAGGTATTGGACATTCTTCTTGGGTTTCTCAAATTATTTTCATAAGAAAGAAAACCCAATAGGTATTGGACATTGGTTCAACTCCTCTTGGATATTACATCCCAACATTAGAATAAAACCCAACAGGTAATGTTTACTTGTCCAATTCTTCTTGGGTTACTCTTCATTAAGATAGTCAAATTGTAAAATTAGACTGCAAACCCAATAAGTATGACATTTACCTTCCCTAGTTGAATTCAAATTTATCTGCATAAGCATACATAAGTCCAAAACATATTTAATACTTTAATTCTAACACTCCACATCTCATTCAGTGTACACTTTACAAATGATAGGATATATATAAGCATTTTGTGCCTAAACTATTTGGCTTTTAAAGAATTTTATAACCATGTTTGCAAAATTTAAATTCAAATATTGGAACTTGGAGCAAGTCATTACAGGTAGAGCAAGATGCTGAAAACCATATTGATAAATAGATCACACCCTTGATAAAATATTTGCCTTCAGTTGCTAAGATTGTGTTGTATTATATGGAAAATTTCTATAATCCTGTTTATTACAGATACATGTACAATGCATATTTTCCCTGTAATAATAAAAAAAAAATACTTCTGAGATGTAAAAGAATGGATTTAATAGTCACCGATGTTAAAAGATATTACATGTATCTCATTAATCTGGTTTGGAAATCACAAATTTAGTTTTGAAGCCGATTAAACAGTGTCGCACCAGAAAACTCAGTTACAAGTACAATGAATGAATTCGTTGTATCAAAACTTTAAAATAATTGATGCACTATGTCCAAATCTTTTCGACAAATCGGGATAAAGATGTTAAATCAAATCATCACTGTTATAAGTCTTAGAGCAAGAGAAAAGTCATTACATGCCCAAATTTTACATGTAAGGCTTTGATCCTATATTTCAATAAATGTCAAAATGGTTTTATTTTTGTTTCTCTTCCATTCTTTCTTCTTCAGGGTCTCTCATGGCCTATACTGTATGATACCTCCATTGACCCTGCTCTTTTATATTGCCATATGTTTATCCAGTAGCAGTGGTTATGCTCAGGCAATCTTTGAAATATTCCTCATTTCATGCATCTCCTTCAAATCTGCCTCTGTCCTTTTTATTCATTCTGCAATTAGATAAAGGCATTTCTTTGCCGTATAAAACATGCTTTTCGTGACTTACAGTAAGATCACCCTTTATGTTGATCAAACCCAACCAAGAAGTAGAAGTATATTTCTTATTCAGAAATATGTATTGATAAATAAAATGGAAGAAAAACTAAATTCTATCAACTCTTTTTTGTTTCTTCTATGTCTAACTGCATCTTCCTTCGTACCCCCCATCTGCCATAATTTTATCAAAATGGAATCATCATTCAACACACAAAACGATGTTGCATATTAATTAGACAGTTTGTTAGTTTCTGATTGTTAAGAAGGAGATTTTAAAAAGATTTTACACCTATTCCTTGCAAATTTAAGACTTCTAATGTAACACTATCAGTACATTAGGGGTACATAATCTTCAAAAACATCTCTACACTTAATGATAAAGCTTTCATATTAGTATTGTTTTTAGCCCAGTGGTTCTGCTAAAGAGGATTTAAAATTGACCCAAACCTTACTAACTGCTTTGAAATTATATTGACAGGGACAGAGACACACTTGACACTCCATCCCCCCTTCCTGGGGTATGCTTTGCACAAAAGAAGAAGTCTCAATAAGCCATTATCTGTGGTCCCCGGTTTCTCGTCAAATTTTAAACTTTCATTAAAAAGCTTAAGAAGTAAATTACATTGTTCCCTTATGTCTGTAGTATATGCTCCAATGTTTAAAAATTTCAAATAATTGCAAAAAAGAACATGCGAAGCTGTGTTTTGAAGGTGGGGTCCTTTGATTTTCATGAATATCAAAAGAAATTTGTGACAGGTACCCACTTAAGAGCTTTCGTAAACATCGAGCGCAGATTTGTTCAAAGTCGACATCAAAATATAATGTGTATATTATATTTATACAGATTGTGTGAAAATATCTTTGTTGAACAACATTGCGCTCTATGTCTTCTACTTAAAAGTATCATGATTTTGAATCTGTTCGGTGAGTACATTTACATAGGATTAACCTCTTGTTGACCTGCTAAGAATAGATAATATGTCACGTGATTCCATTCCGCCACAGGTGAATACCTTTGGAAAGCGTGTTTACTATAGAAAGCGACACAATCTGGTAGCTCGTATTTGAAAAGTGCAGACACCAGCTTTCATTTTTTTAAATTAAAAAAATGTCTCTGTAGACTTCGATGAATATTACTAATATGTTAAACTTTGACGATTTTCCGGGACATTTTGTAATTCTCATGCACGTTTTAAATCGCAATATTCCTGTTCATTGCGAAAATTAAAGCACACGCGTAGATGTACATAAATACACATTTAATCAATTTCTTGCGAAAAAGAAACAAAATATTATAAGCAGAAAATACCAAAGACGTAATAATTTCTTCACATTTAATCACTGTCTAAACAAATAAACTTGCATACTGACCACTTCAATATTTAAAGCAACTTTATACACTTGTCACGTATTTGGATGCTA